CACGTAGAAGGAAGAAGATAATAAAAGAGAAACAAAAAAATTAAAATTATATATTACGTATTTTTCTTGATGTTAAGCTTTTCCTCGAACGTCTAGAATGCGATTTCAAAGCATAGACGAAAACTGAATTTTTCATTGACTCGTTACGCAATTATATATCAAAAATTAATTGTACATATAAATAGAAGTTAAAAAAAGCGATAATCTCAAGCGATCAATTTCTCCGTACATTGCATTCGTACCAAATTTGCTCTTTATGCGCTCGGAGAGAATTCTCAATTCAAACATACACAGCGGAAAGTGAGATTTTTCCATTTGATTTCAATTAATTCATCGAACATAAAAGACTTTCAATGATGCACAAATTTCTCATCAGCATAGGATTCCGAGCTAAATTGCAATCTTACACAATATCTAAAAGTTACACAATGACGAGTAGTTTTAACTTTTTTCTAATGAAAATCGACACAAAAATGGCTTACTTCTGCTTCGTATTTATTATTTTATACCAAACATATCAATATTTATACGATATATTTAGAATTAGCGATATTCTATTTTCTGAAGATTAGTTATAGCGAGTACAGTCTACGATATTTAATTATATTAAATATTATGTAAAATTGTCTCCGTCTTCGTTGCATCGTGAGACACTCAATCTCTACACATTGATAAAAATATTCCATTTTTATCCATTTTTGCGGTATTTCCACGCGGCTTTATCTCACTATTCTGATTACACGTACGAAAACGTTAAAAATAACAATGAAATATAGAGAGACATACAGGACCAATTTCCACGCTTAGTCAAAATCGATTAACAAGTTCCAAACAAAAAACCACGATTAATCTTTATATGCATCGCATTAAGAAACCCTCGAAAAAAAAAAAAAAAAAAAAAAAAAAAAAAAAAAAAAACTAATATATACATAACTATTTTTTAATAATTCCACATACGAAACCACGAAACATATAACTGTTATTATAACTATCCTTACTTACTTCTCTTTATAAATTGAGAATAATTTAATTTGCCTATGAAATTAAAAGATTACAAAATTAAAGATTGAATGGCTGTAAGAGAACAATGACATTGCCATGGCAGGCAGGGATACGCGATATAATATAATTGTGTGTAGAATAAAAATTGTTTATCATTTAGTGAAATAAAGTTTGGACATTGGCGACGAGCGTGTAGAATTTGTATCGGAGGTTAAAGTAAAAATTCCAAAGCAAAATTCACAACTACTACGTACGGCTGGACGTACCTTTACAATAAATATTTTGAAAGCGATTGCATTCGTTTATTAATTGAGAAAAATTAATATATTTATAACTATATTCGAGAAAAGACTGTGCTGATTTTTATAACGAACAGACGAAAAGAAGAAGAGAAAAGACAAAAACTTTTACCGAAGCTTACGAGTCAAAGAAAAAGTAATCAAAATAACAGTAAAACGAACAAACGATCGAGGTGTTTCTTAAATGCGTTAATTTTTAATACTCAAATGCTTAATGCACATAAATAAAGATAGTTATTGCGATCACTGAATTTTCTACGTAAAATAGCGCTAATTATATCTTGATAGATGGTAATTCGGCGAGTAAGAAAGCTCTTTCGAGTAATTATGGAAGCAAGTAAAGTTGAATTCTCGTGTGCAATGAGTTGACTGAACGTTGATTTAAAGAAATTTAAAGCGAATGTTCCATATTTCTATGTTAATTAATGAGGTTAATTGGGGTAATGAAGGGGCGGGTAGTGGGAGGGAGGGAGGGAGGGTGGGGGAGGGGAGGATTGCCGATTATCACATCTTCCTCTAATCATCGACACATCCAAAAAAAAACCGATGTAAAGATAAACACATTTTATACGTACCTGTTGAGTGAGTATGGGCAAACAGAGAAGTAAATGGTATATGCAAAGAAAAAGCAAGCAGACGAATATCTAAATTTATTATGTATAAAGATAACGGAAAAAGTCGCGATAGGAGCTTGCGTATGAAATTCCACACTACTAGTGTACATTCTCAACTAAAAGAAGAAGCATAAAGAATATACAAGATCTTCCGTTGATTGATATTAAAGAATGCGTGAACCGCTAAGAACGATCAAGCTACCTATAATTCTCGTGACAGTGTGCCAATGAAATAAAAAGCAAAAAAAAAATAATAATAATAATAATAAACAAATAAATAAATAAATAACGAAAGAAAAATAAAAACACATTCTATAGGTATTGCCTAAAAATAATTATCGATTATTTGATTCGGCGTTTCTCTTTATTTTTCATTTGTCTAGTGTGCGTACGTCATGTTGACCTTATTTCAAGCTTTCTGTTAAGATGTAATTACGTCTAAAGCGCAAAAAGATGCTCTGCTCAAAATCAATTGCTTTTAATTGCGAATTTCTATAATACATAATTTGTATAGTTTCTTAGCAGAAGGCTGAAATAACTTTTTGTTGCCAAAGACACGTTTCTTTACATATTATTGTACGTTGTGTATATTAACTATTTTCTTGATTTAAATGTTGCACAGCGATATAATGAACATGATTTATCGCACGGCCGTCTAAAGTGCTTCGACTCGTGAATTTTATAGATTTTCCGACTTCCTTCACGAATGTGCGTAAGAACGAATACTTTATGATTATATTATTTAATTTCTTTTTCATTTACTTAAGAGCGGATCATCATTTCGTTATTCTAATACTTAAGTCTATTCGCTATAAGTACGTATTATATTATAATTACGTGCCTTTTGTATATTTTTCATTGGCCTAAAGGAGCCCGATATATATATATATATATATATATATATATATATATATATATATATATATATAATACGATACGCAACGATATATTATATATTATCGATTGAGCTGTATTAATTTTTTTTTTTTTTTTTTTTATACAGATTTTAGGAGTTTTATGTATCGCAGCCTGTTATTATTTCATTAAATCCTGCCATATTCTAATTGTACAAATTGTTCATTTTTTTTATTTATTTACATTTTTTTTAACAGACATTTAAAATAGTTTTTTACTTTGTTATCGAGAGATTACCGACTATTATACTCATTATTAATAATGTTGATTTATTATGTGGAATATGTGGAAGATAACGATTACGTAGATGACTAATTACCGAACGGACTGGATTAATTAAATTTAGATGCAAACGTACTTTCGATCAAATAATCTTTATCGAAATCAATCAATGAAATATTCAAATTCTCTCCCGATGCCGAACAAAGTAAAGACTTTATTCGTTCGTTATTACTTTCGTTATTACTTCTACCCCCCCTTTTTTTTTTTTTTTTTTTTTTTTTTTTGTGTTGACATTTCGTTCTTTATGGTAAGTTCAGTTATCGATATTTATTATAATGCTTTTAATTTTAATTGCCTCTCTTAAACTCCGTTATGTTCTTTATGCTATTGTGTATTATCGCCTCTGTAGGATTAATAAAATAAGCACGTAAAATTGCAAAAGGTGCGATTCACGATTTGGAGCAAATCCCTATATCGGCATAATCGAATGCTCATAACTGCATGTGTCTCGATGTACAGAATGAAAATGATAATGAAATGGAATACCGAATTCACTGCTCTTAAAGAATCCTTGTATTATAAAAATGATTTGTATAATCGAACGGACGAGCCAATTCGTTACGAAAAAGAAAAAAATATGTTTGTTTTATTAACTCATGTTGAGTCTATATGCTCGAGTGGAAGGACTTTGTTGTAAGGTTTAAGCGCGCGCATGTGTAATAATTGAACGAGTTGTATATCACGAGGGAGCATTATCGGATCTCAGATGAGAGAAAGAGGTGCCGAGCGCGAGTAAATTTTCCGCTCTTCGGTCGGATATGAAATGTGAGAATGTTCCAAAGAATGAAGGACGATCTCGATAGGCGTGAAAGAGTATCTATCATACATCACGGCTGCTCGCATCTTTACTTTCAATTCGGGATCCAGCAATGCCCGTTTCGCGTATAGATTACTTGCCGAGCGATACATTCCCCTCTTCTTGGTCCGGAGGACTGAAGGAAATGGCCCGACGAATATGAAGATTCGAGGCTGTTACGCGTGCGAGCCTGGGAAATCACGGTGGCGTACCTGTACGCGATGTCGCTTTGATGAGTTTAAAAGGCAGTGGAGGGCACTAAGTACGGCAAGCGACGGATCGCTTTTAGAGTTTAGAGAGACAAAACCAAATAATAATAAAGTAAAAAGGATAGGCAATATATTGTAAATAAACGAGTCTTCGTGGAAATTATGTGTGGTTTTTTCGTACATCAGTATATTCGATTTTTCACACGAATACTTTGTAATTGAAAGTTCGCGCGTTATCAAAACCAAAAGGTATTGGCGAATTTTTTTTCTTTTCGGTTTCAATTTTACCGCTTTTTCTCTTCAATTTTCTTCACTTGTTTTCACATCTAAAGACAAAAATGTAATTTTTAAAAATGTATTCTGAAAGCGATCCTTTCGTCGTTACTACTCGTGATTGATTGTTCTAGATTGAAATATTATATAACTGATCATTACTATGTCTACATTCTTTTAACAGACCTACCACTATTACTTTACGAAGCTATCTGTACATACAAATTTTATATTCCTGCGAAAAATAAAGAAAAAATTAATATAAAAAAAAAAATAAATAAATAATTAAATAAATAATAATAATATGTCAAAACATCTTTGCAATTTATTGACTTTGTAGTGACAAGCTCATTTATTGTAAATATACATAATTTTCGAATTTTTCAATAAAAAGTTTTGAAAATCACTAAACACTATGTGTTTTTATTCAACGTGGAATTCGTTTTATTTCATTAGAAATAAACGACAAAATCAACCACTCGTCACGCTTATTTTACACATTTATTTCAGCGTTGCGTTTTATCGTATCGGCAGCTTATTACTAAAGGAGGCATTATTCTATAAAATTAAAAAGTTACACAACCACATTAAATTCTACAAATTTTATTACTACTTCATTAGCTAATAATATATAATTAATTATAAAATTGACATACAATTTTTGTATCAATTTTTCTTGTCTTTACTTTCATTCGTAATCGACATACACTTCGGTAATTATACTTATAGCTTGTAACAATTAATTAAGTCGACGAGTATTTTAATATTAACGGTAAAGAAAAATATGCCAGCGAGCCAAATGTAATCGAAGGTATTCATTCCCATAAATTCCAGCAAGTATGCTGTAAACAACCATAAGCTTTGGCTAAATATCCAACTAACGACTAGCGCAATTGTCCTCGTTAAGCTCATTTTCAAATGGGGTAGGCAAATTGGAAGCAAAGAGAGAAACCAAAAGAAATATTGAGACGTCATGACGGGGTTGAATGTAACCATCGTTATGGCTTGGGTGAATAATGCAAAGGGTAAGTTTTCCTTTGACGAATAGCGCATGGCTAAGGCCAACAATATACAGACTTGCGGTAGAAAGGTAAATATTTTTTGTAAAATACTATGGTCTTCGCCTGCTGAAAGATAAAGCATATAAAAGTATACCGAAAAATTATGTCTAACGTCTTTTCTCACCAAATGGTAAATTAAGCTTTCGTCCAAAAACTTTTTCCCATACAATGCATAGGACAGAGCTGTCAGATCGAATAACCCCAAAAGACAAGATATTATTAGCTTCATTTGCCTTCGATTGGGTAGCAATAAATTTCTCTCTCCCAAATACAAATACATGACCAGGCTAAACGCTAGTGGATAGAGTCTAAAATGTATTGATAAAGCATGAACCATCCCGGCCATAATAAGTTGGTCATTTTGTAACAAATACAATGTCCATAAAACCAAGTAAACTGCCAGAGAGTCTGCGTTACCCCTAGTCGATATTACCATTGCCAATGGATTATATAACCATAAGAGGGCACAAAGATTGGCGGTTTGCTGTTTAAACTTTTGACAAAGGAGAATTTTCCTCATTATTTTAGCGACCAAGATGTCAATAACAGAGAAGAAAACTTTACCGCAATCTTGGTGCAAATATACATTCGGAGTCATTAGCAATGCAAGCAGTGGCGTGTATCTGTATGTATGGCGTTCGTAAGGTGAGCCTCTTTTGGTTATATATCGAGCTGCATCGGTATAAACTTTGTAATCTACATCGGTATATGGTACATTAAAATACTTGTCGTGATAGTTGGAGTACGTTACAAGAAGAAGCCTCGTTATAAAGGCAATTACGCAATGTAATTGTAGGGAGAGCTTTTTGCTCGGTTGCACGCTTCGTCGTTTCATGGCTTGCTTATTATTTGCTTTGGCAGCAGCTTCAAAATTTCTTTTCATCTTGATGCGATTATCAAATTATGCTTATAATTTTGTTTTATGCTGTGCAGCTGCTTTCATGAGACAAGATTTAAACTGATCGAATTCGTTTTTACAATCATCTTTCTTAAAATCTTTCTTATTTAATACACAATTAGCGTATGCTGCGGCTGATTCGCGACACTGCAACAACAATGCTGGATATTTACGAAATCTGTCTTTTGCGCTCTTTACAGAATCCATGGTCAATATTCTTTGATATAGTTCAATATTTATCCTTTGAACATCCACTTTGCTCTAAGTTGCTTGATATCTTCTGGCTTACTCAATAAACCGTAAATAATAGGCGAACACGTCATACAAGTACCGAGGAAAACTGTAATATTAAAAACAGCTTTTGAATGACGATATATAAAAGGCATATCCTTTAATACCGGATGTTTTCTTTTACTATACATCTTAGTTCAATGCTTCTTTCTAAAAAATGAAATGCTTTAATTACAAACTGAATTTGCCAACATATACACAATATGTACATTCGCATTGCAATGATACAATTAAGGGTACAATAATTCCTTATCCTCGAAATATATATATTCATGCAATAAGCAATAAATTCCATTGCATTCATACAAAATTGTACAAAAATAAATCAATAATTGAGGATAGGAACGTGCAATCATTCGTTATGCTTAATTTGAGAAAATAAAAAAAACGTGCTGGGATTATTGCCACTTACGTAATCAACGGTATTATGGTCGTAAGGTTTCGATGTGTCGATCCCCGAGCAAACAGACGAATCAGGATTACTTTTTATACAACACTTTCTTAATTCCTCGATAACGCTTTCGCATTTCGCTGGCTGATACACATTATCTAAACAAAATAATAAGGTTCCATATAGTACGCAAGAAATTGAGGTTATATCGCATTCATATTAATTATACACAAGGCAAACCTTGCAAACACTTTTGCAATTTGCATGCATATTTCTTACAAGGATCGTTAGTGGACATAAAAAGGTCTGTAAAGAAAATACAATCATACCCCAATGAAAAGTTTATGAAAATAAAATGAAATTTAATGAGACACGTACCTCGCAGAAACTCAAATTCATGCCGATATTACAGAAACTTAGCTTATCTACCGAAATCGTCAAACATTAATATTCTACTGGTTCAGCTACCATTCGAGATTATCATCCTGAGATAATGAAATTTATTCCTCCTTGCCTCTATAAGGTAAGGGTATTTGTATAGTGACCGTTATCGGTACATTCGCAGTCATTAAAGAAGCAGGCGGGGCGAAATAATAAGCGCAGACGATAATTGAATGTTAAAGAAATTCCCTGTAAAATTAGCTACCAAAAACATTTTTATCATCATCGTTATCCTTATTGTTGTTGTCGTTGTTGTCGTTGTTGTTGTAGTCGTTGTTGTCGTTGTTGTTGTAGTCGTTGTTGTCGTTGTTGTTGTTGTTGTTGTTGTCGTTGTTGTTGTAGTCGTTGTTGTCGTTGTTGTTGTAGTCGTTGTTGTCGTTGTTGTTGTAGTCGTTGTTGTCGTTGTTGTTGTAGTCGTTGTTGTTGTAGTCGTTGTTGTCGTTGTTGTTGTTGTTGTTGTTGTTGTTGTCGTCGTCGTCGTCGTCGTCGTCGTTATCATAGTTGTCATTGTCGTCGATGTTGTTGTCGTTATTATGAACTTATGAATCATTAAATAAGATTAAGAAAGTAGTATAAATTTTCATTCCACCGGTTTAATTTAAGATTTTATGAGTATAACATTTTGCTTCTGATAAAATCGTAATATAAGAAACGACGAACTTGACAATAATTAAGTGCAATATAAAAATCATAAATTATCTCACACCCGCCCCCCTGTTCTTCTAACCTATTATTGTTTATTATTCAATTATAATATTTTCGATCCCTACTTAATATGAAATTCAAAGGGTCATTTTAAGATTAACTATACATTCACTTATTCTAAGTATCTAGAGAATTGATATCAGCAAATTTCATCGAAACGATTGATAGAAAAATTCATACTAATGATTGCATGCGCTCGTTCGTGTATTCGTGCCGGTGATAACGTAACTCTCACATCATTGGCTCCTTTGTTAATTTGTGCATATATCATCTTGCTTGCTGTGCCATCGTAAGTTCAACTTTTCCAAAATCCAATGGTATTAGGCATACGCATCTCAGCTATTTATCTATTATCCGCTCCCCACTATTCTGCATAGCACCGGTTGGCACCAACGGCACATCCACCCAAACCTGAAAAATTATGACAAAACTAACAAGATCTTGTCTCTGCCAACTAACTACAAGAACTTCTCTCTCGATTGCAACGGCGACATTTTAAAGCGGCATTTTAAGGGTACGTTAAGCCCTCCCTCACCCTCCCAACTCCTCCCCCACCACCCCCTCATCATCATCCTCCTTCATGTCCTCCTCCTCCCTAATCTCTATCCTCAAAACAACCTTTAGAAAAGTGACGGCCACATCCATCCCGCCCCTTCGAATTTCGAACTCTTCCGTACCGAGCCGCTTGTCCGCGCTCCAATTACAACGGCTCCCGGTCGCAGCATCCCAAACTATCATTGACGATCTCTTGAGAAAATATTTTCCCTTCGACCGTCCAAGCGGGACCGAAGATTCGATCTCGTCGAAAGATGCGACGACGTCGCAAAGTGGAATCGCGTAGCATCGCTGCGCGAAGAAAAGCAGCGCAGCCTCTTGGCTCCCTTTGTTACGAGGCCCCTTTCCCCCAGCTTCTCTCCGAAAACCGCCACCCCACCCTGAGGACTTTTTACCTGAGCCCGAATCCTAAATCTCGCGAGCCCCTGAGAAGAGCGGATCGTGCTGGCGACGGTAACGGCGGCAACGGCGGCGGCGGCGGCAGTAACGACGACGCTCCCATGGGGAACGATCGAGAGGGGAAGGGGGTGGTCCAACCGTCCGTCTCGCTCGCTCGCACACTCACTTCCATACTCGCTCGCTCTATGCCTCTATCCCTTTCCATCGCTCGTCGCCGTTGTGCGCGCGCGCTCGCTTTGTCCTCTGCTACGTATAGAGAATGAATGGCCGGCCTTCGGTGGTGGGGTGCGTGATCCCCACTTCTCGGGGGGCGCAAGCCGACTCGCCATAGGCAACCCCCACCCGGACGTACGCGCGCGCCTCGCGGGCTCGTCCGGTGGTGCACCCTGGCGTCGCCTCGGGGTGACTCCGGACTGCCCCCACCGCCAGCGCACCTCGAGCCGCCGAACGACGCGAGGAAGGAGCCGGGGACCGATACACTAGTCGACGCGTACCCGTCGAGCGGTCAGTGCGAGTCGAGTATGCGTCAAGTGAGGATTGGGTTCTCGTTGTCGAAAGGTTGAGTGTCCCTCGGTGCGGTTCACGCAACATTATTTTGATTGCTTGCGCTCCGCTAGTGATCGAGGAGGCTGCGCGACTCCAGTAGCGCCGCTTCAGAGAGTCTGAAAGTTCCAATCTCGCCGCGAATTACGAGTTGGTGACGATTTTCGCGGTGCGGGGGTGAAATTCACATAAGGATTGCGAGCGCTGAGGCAAATATTCCGCGGTACGGTAACTTGCTCATCATATCCAAGGAATTGCATGGAGGATGGGGAGAAATAAAATCAAGATCTAAGAGACTGTTCGTCTATTGTCCCCTAAGTGATATACAGAGATAGAGATAGAGAAAGACAGATATATATATATATATATATATATATATATAGATAGATAGATAGATAGATAGATAGATAGATAGATAGATAGATAGATAGATAGATAGATAGATAGATAGATAGATAGATAGATAGATAGATAGATAGATGAGATAGATAGATAGATAGATAGATAGATAGATAGATAGATAGATAGATAGATAGATAGATAGATAGATAGATAGATAGAGAGAGAGAGAGACAGGCAAACAGACAGAGATAGATATAGAGACAAAAGAAGAGAACGGAAAAGAAGAGAGAAAGAGAGAGGAGAGAGAAAAGGGTGGATTATTAAAGTGACGGCGGGAGTGATATCGGGCGCGTGAGGTGCGAGACAAAAGTGTTAATCGGGTAGCGGCATCGAGGATAGCGCGAGCCTGAGGATGGATCGACGACTCTCGTCCACGTGATATTGACGAGGGCGGATGAGAAGCAGCGCCGCAGGCTCTGGTCGAGTCGCCCGTAGTAGCCCTTTGGTTCGTAAAGAGTCGAGCCCGCCGAGGATGGCCGGACCGTCCCGCGGTCTCCGCAGTCGCGGTGCCATCGCTCCACCGATCCTACGGCTCCAACCGCCGACGGCACCGCCACAGCAGCCGCCGCTCCTGCTGTTACTGCTGTGGCTACTCGCCGGCCTCGGAGCCGCGCGCGCCTCCTGCCACTGGGCCACCGACGGCAACGAGACCCGCTCGGCTGTCTGCAGCCTGCGCACCCTTGACCCAGCCGCCCTGGCCGCCCTCTCGCCCTCCCTCGACGGCGCACTCAAGCTACGGATTTCCTGCAGCAGCATCCATCATCTCGAGAGCAGCGTGAGCGGCGAGAGCTGGCACCGGCTGGGCGGCCTCCACGAGCTTAGCATCGAGGGCTGCAAGCTACCGCGTATCCCCGAGGCCGCGTTCCAGCCCCTCGGCGAGCTCAAGCGGCTGAGCCTCCAGTCGGCGAACGTCGAGTGGGGCCTCAGCCGTAGCCTCGAGCTCGCCGGAGACGCTTTCGCGGGCCTCCGCGAGCTCCAGGTCCTCGAGATCGTCGACAGTAATCTTCGAGCGCTACCGGCCAACGCGCTCTGCGGCCTCGGCAATCTCCAGGTGCTCAACCTCACGGGCAGCCAGTTCGCGAACGTGAGCGACGTCGGCCTCGCCGACGGCCGCGCCAATCGCGCCGACTGCCACACTGACATCCGTGCCCTCGACCTCTCGCGCAACGAGCTACGCAGCCTCCCCGAGGAGAGCTCTCTCTCGGGGCTCCGCCAGCTCCAGGAACTCATGCTCCAGCACAATCTCATCGACGAGATCGCGAGCGACGCTCTCACGGGACTCACGAGCCTCCGCGTCCTCAACGTCAGCTACAACAGCCTCGGCTCGCTGCCCAACTCCCTGTTCGCAAGCACCCGCGACCTCCGCGAGATTCACCTGCAGTTTAATCAGCTGCGCGAGCTGCCGCGCGGCACGTTCACGCGGCTCGAGCAGCTCCTCGTCCTTAATCTCGCGGGCAACCGACTCGGCAGCGAGCACGTAAACGAGACGAGCTTCGTCGGCCTCATACGGCTCATCGTCCTCGACCTCTCCTACAACACGCTCACCCACATAAGCGAGCTCATGTTCAAGGACCTCTTCTTCCTGCAGATCCTCGATCTCAGGAACAACTCGATTGGTCATATCGAGAGCAACGCCTTCCGGCCCCTCTACAATCTCCACACCCTCGAGCTCTCGGACAACAGACTACACGCGGTCGGGCCCCAGCTCTTCAACGGCCTCTTCGTCCTCAATCGGCTGACGCTCTCGGGCAACCTCGTCGCGAGCGTCGATCCCGTTGCCTTCCGCAACTGCTCGGATCTCAAGGAGCTCGATCTCAGCGGCAACGAGCTCGTCAGCGTCCCCGAGGCCCTGCGCAACCTGAACTTCCTCAAGACCCTCGACCTCGGCGAGAACAGGATAACGGAGTTCCACAACGGCTCGTTCCACAATCTCCATCAGCTGACGGGTCTGCGCCTCATCGGCAACGAGATCGGCAATCTCACCCGCGGCATGCTCTGGGACCTGCCCAATCTCCAGATCCTCAATCTCGCGCGCAACAAGGTCCAGCATGTCGAGCGCAACACCTTCGAGCGCAACACCCGTCTCGAGGCAATACGACTCGACGGCAATTTCCTCTCGGACATTAACGGCGTATTCGCGGGTATAGCGAGCCTCCTGCTGCTCAACCTCTCCGAGAACCACATCGAGTGGTTCGACTACGCCTTCATACCCAGCAATCTCAAGTGGCTCGACATCCACGGCAACTTCATCGAGAAGCTCGGCAACTATTACAACATCCGTGACCAGAAGGTGCGCACCCTCGACGCGAGCCACAACCGCATAACCGAGCTCACGCCCCTCTCCGTGCCCGACAGCGTCGAGCTCCTCTTCATCAACAACAACTACATAAGTAGCGTCCGACCCAACACCTTCACTGGCAAGAT